GGTTGTTACTAACTGTGAGTTTGCTATCCTTTCACTGTTTATATTTTTTATCTTCTTTTTCTTAGATAAGTCTCTTTAACATTTCATATAATAAGGGCTTGGTGATGGTGAACTTTTTAAACTTGTCCTTATCTGAGGAGCACTTTATCTGCCCTTCCATTCTAAATGAAAGCTTTGCTGGATAGAGCAATCTTGGATGTAGGTCTTTGGATTTCACGACTTGGAATACTTTTTTCCAGCCCCTTCTTGCCTGCAAGGTCTCTTTTGAGAAATCAGCTGACAGTCTGATGGGAACTTTTTTGTAGGTGACTGTCCCCTTATCTTTTGCTGCTTCTAGAATTCTCTCCTTCATTTTAATCTTGGCTAGTGTAATGATGATGTGCCTTGGTGTGTTCCTCCTTGGGTCCAAATTCTTTCGGACTCTGAGCTTCCTGGATTTCCTGGAAGTCTATTACCTTTGCCAGTTTGGGGGAAGTTCTTTATTATTTGTTCAAATAAGTTTTCCACCTGTTGGCTCTTCCTCTTCCCCTTCTTGTACCCCTATATTTCGGATGTTGGAGTGTTTAAAGATGTCCTGGAGGTTCCTAAGCCTTTCCTCATTTTTTTGACTTCTTGTTTCTTCATTCTTTTCTGTTTGGCAGTTTTTTTCTTCCTTCTGGTCCACTCGATTGATTTTATTCCCAGTTTCCTTCCCATCACTATTGGTTCCCTGTGCATTTCCCTTCATTTCAATTAGTTTAGTCTTCATTTGTTCCTCTAATTTGTGACTAAAATCAACCAGTTCTGTGAGCATCCTGATCATCAGTGTTTTGAACTGTGCATCTCATAGGTTGGCTATCTCTTGGTCGCTTAGAAATACTGGCTCTGGGGCTTTGAGCTGTTCTTCTTGAGCCATAATGTTTTGTTCTGTTTGAGCCTGTTAGGTATGAGGGGCGGAGCCTTAGGTGTTCACCAGGGCGGGGCAACCCAGGTTGCTGGGTTGTGATGCTGTGTGTGGGGGCGGGGTCAGAGAGGGGCAGTGGCATTTGCTCTTCTCTCTGTCAGACCTCAGTCCCCTCTGTGGCTTCTCACAAGCAAATTGGCCCTTTCTGGTGCTGGTTTCCAGGTGCGTGGGCTTGTGCACCCTCCAGGACCCTGTGGGTCTCTCCAGTGAACTCTCTGTGAGCCTGGGAGCCTCTCCTGGCACCTCGATCCCGGAAAGTTTTTCCAATTGGTACTTTTAGGCTTTATTTCCCATTGCTGGGGCCCTGCATTGCGTGGTCTGTCTCACTGTCCATTTTTTTACCTGATTTACCTGTGTGTGAATGTGTGACCACGGTCAGCAAGCTGCCTTGCACTTCACTGGATCTGCCCGTTGCCACCCCGCACCTGGGATCTGCCAACTGCTGCCTGCACGCCTGGGTTGGTCCGGCCACTTTTTCCTGTGTGACTTGTCTCCACCAGCTGCTGACTCTGCCCCTCTTACTGGTTGGGATGAATGGTTCGTTGTTGTCAGACTTCCATATAGTTCAATTTTCTGTCTGTTTTGGTTGCATTTTTGTTACTAAATCTTTGTTGTCTTTAAACTTGGTTGTGCGAGGAGGTATAGTGTTTCCACCTACGCCTCCATCTTGGCTGGAAGTTGGCGTTGTTGAGTTGTATTATTTTATGCTACCACTAGCAATGTATGAGAATTCCTGTTTCTCATATCCTCAAAACATGAATTTTATTTTACTGTTTTTTGTTAGTTTACTTTTGGATGTTTGCCAATCCAAGTTAAAAAAAGTGGTATTTGAGTGTTTTACTTTGCATCTTTCTTTTGAGTGAGATATAGTATCTTTTGATCTGTTTAAACTGTTGTGTAATTTTTCTGTGAACTGGGATTTGCCCAGTAGGCCTTTTTTGTATTTTTTTTAGTCATTTGTTGGAACTCTTTATTTATTAGGTAGGTCATACCTTTAATGGGTTTTGAGTTGAACAAAAACTGATGTTGGAGTAGAAGTTGCTTCATTTTTAGTTGAACTAAAAATATTCTGGTAACCATTGCGAGTTGGAGGCCAGAGCTGCACTTGAGTTTACCTGAGTTCTTTTTCCAGTCCAGCAGAACTTCGGGGCCAGCATTTTTGGAGGAGTTCATTGAGATGACATGGCAAGATAAATATATTTCAGATAGTCTCCAAGGGATAGTAGGTTGCTCAAGAAATAATATTAATTCATCTGCATTTTGTTTTTTAAGGCAACTGGAGAAACAGTGTTTTAAAATCCTTCATATATGTTTTTTTTAAAAAATATTTTATTTATTTATCTTTAGAGGGGAAGGGAAGGAGAGAGGGAGAGAAACATCAATGTATGGTTGCCTTTCGTGTGTCGCCTGCAGGGAACTGGCCTGCAGGGAACTGGTCTGCAACCCAGGCATGTGCCCTGACTGGGAATCGAACCGCGATTGTCTGGTTCACAGGCCCGCGCTCAATCCACTGAGCTACACCAGCCAGGGCCATATATGTATTTTTAAAAGTATTACAGCAAGCTTTGTTCATTATAAAATGATGTTATAATTTATTTATTAATAATGCATCTGAAAACAGAGTAGCGTGGAGTTTAATAACCCATACTAATTGGATGTGTTTTTCATTTTAACTGAAGCTCTTAATTTTCCAATGCCTGAGTTTTTATTCAACATATTTTTGTGGAGACTAGTGGGTCCAAGCTCATTTCATGGCTGGGTCCTATGTGATGGCCTGCAGAGGTTGGCAGATGAACCATAATCATTTAAATTCAACTGACACATGAATAAATAGAAACCTCTCTCAAAGAAATAATCAAAGTTATAAAAGGTAATTGATGCAGATCCTTGTGAAGTCTTTGGAAAAAAATCCATCCTTAGAAAGACAGGCACCACCACAAAACAAAAACAAAAACTGGCATTTAAATTCACTGTTTATTTAATCAGCTCAGCACTCTTTTGTAATCAAAAAACTTCTCCCTGTGTTTATGAATATATGTAAACATTTTAATACAACAGCATATACCATTTGCCCTTTAAAATAAATGTTATATAATAAAAATTAAATGGGCTTTTTTAAACCAAGAATTAAAGGAAGTTAAAATATATTTCAGTGCTTTTCGGACCATCTCTGGTGTAAAAGACCAGCTTCAAAAAAATTTTCAGTTGATTGGTGACCATGAACTGAACAAACACAATAAAAAAAAAACCCAAAGCAAAACCCAAACAAAACTGAAATATGGACGTGTGAATGAAAGATAAAAATAAAAGATCAGGTTTTATTAGGTTTATCAGATAAAATTGTTAAATTAAAAGAACAGTATAAGTAAAACAAATTGAAAAGAAATACAAAGCTGTACATTGTTGATTGAAAATATTCATAAAAAGCAATCGATGTATTAATAAATTATTTCAGACTGGTAACAAACACTGGTATACAGACCACATTTTGAGTAACACTGCTTTTTTGGAAGAGGTACCTGTCACTCTTTATGTTACTATTGGTGTTTTATATTAGAAAAAAAGCCTTGTGTTCTCCCCATGTCTCACTTTAGAATAAGGTAAAGATTTTATGTAACAGTACGAGTCTAGGTTTAAGTAGTTTCAACCACCTTACTCTCAAATTTTCTTCAAACATATGAGTTGAGGTTTGTTTTTTTTTTTTTAGATTTTATTTATTTATCTTTAGAGGGGAAGGAGAGAGGGAGAGAAACATCAATGTATGGTTGCCTTTTGTGCATCCCCTGCTGGGAACTGGCCTGCAGGGAACCGGCCTGCAACCCAGGCATGTGCCCTGACTGGGAATTGAACCGCGAGCGTGTAGTTCGCAGGCCTGTGCTCAATCCACTGAGCTACACCAGCCAGGGCTCTTGAGTTTTTAAATGATGTGTTTTTTCTTAATGTGTTTTGCCATTGTTAGTGTTATTAAGCCAAGATTGCTAGACACGTGTAAGCTTGTGAGAAAAATAGAAAGTTTGTGATATAAGTTGCTGGTAATTTATTTTATTAAATTTTATGTTTCATTATTTGTTGAGAAACTTGGAAATAATGCTTTCATAAAAATTAACAGGTATTGCACAACTGTTATTTTTAATTTCTTGGTTTAGTTATATAACTTTGCTAGCATTTGTGTTTTACGGTTGAGCTGTGGCGCATTAGACTGTTTTTCTTAAGAGGTTCTTTATAGACAGTGTGAATGTATATATGTTGCTCTGTTAAGCAGAAATCTATAGATCTCACATGTTTTCATGACACCAAAAAATTGTAATTAACTTGAGGTGATGAATGTGTAAACTAACCTTATTGTAATCATTTCGCAGTATATATAAATGTCAAATCGTCACATTGTACACTTCAAACTTACATAATGTTACATGTCAGTTATGTCTCAATAAAGCTGAATAAAAAGTAAGCAGCAGCCTTGGCTGGTATGGCTCAGTGGATTTAGTGCTGGCCTGCTAACTGAAATGCCGCTGGTTCGATTCCCTGTCGGGGCATATGCCTGGGTTGTGGGCCAGGTCCCCGGTTGGGGGTGTGCCAGAGGCAACTGATCCATGTTGCTCTCCTTCTCTTTCTTCCTCCCTTCCACTCTTTCTAAAAATAAATAAATAAAATCTTTTTTTAAAAGTAAGCAGCAATCTAGGCTTTATACCAAGGCTTGGTGATATTGCCAGCACTGCCTGTGATTCAGAAATGTCCCACAGATTATTACCATTTGGTGTGGAGGGAGTAGAAAGTAATATTTAACTTATATTGAGTTTTTCTTTAATGTAGATACATTGAAAGATAAAATATCTTTGGACTCAGTATGAAGTCTTTTTATAATCTTTTTTATATATGACTTTAGACAAATACTGTCAGTGGACAGAGATTTAAATTCTAACCTTTTTATATTCTTCGTATTACCCAGTTAAATAATTTAAATTTTTTTTAGAAAGTTATCTCTGTACTAATTTGTATAAGTTATGTGTGTGCAAGTGGAAAGGAATGCATATTATCTTTGTCTGTTTTCCTTTAGGGTAATTCTTCTGCAATTACTTTTGGATGGAAGTATGCTCTTTTTCCAATAGAAGATGGTAAACTTGGAGAATGACCATGGAGAAGGGGATGAGTTCTGGAGAAGGGCTGCCGTCCAGATCATCTCAGGTTTCGGCTGTTAAAATAACAGCCAAAGAGTTGGAAACAAAGCAGTCCCATAAAGAGAAGCGAGGGGGCTTTGTGTTGGTGCATGCAGGTAAACTCTAAGTGATTGAGTCAGAACATGAAAATAATGTTGATTTTTTTTCTTGCCTTAAAGTACACTGAGAATTGAATTTCACCTCAGGAAGAACACAGTACCAGAGAGGAATTGGAATCAAGAGAGATTGACTTCAGTATAGTGAAGGCCTCCTAGTACCCACTAGGAAGATCTTATAATGACAGCTCTCCCTATGTCTTCTTCACTCCTCTACCCTGTCACTTACTTTTACCCTATATAATAGATGTATTTAGATAGTATTAAAACCACACAAAGTACTTTTAAAAAACTCTTGTTTGTAGTTTTAAAAATAATGATGCTGAAAAAGTTTTATTGACCCCCATATTTGACCATGGCTATCTTAGAGTATATTTACACAGTGTTAGAACTAGTTTGCTTTCTTAATATAGTATGTGAGGGAAACTTAAAACCAGAGAGATTGAATGGCTTAAGGCACTTGGTTAGTTTATGCTAGAGACAGGTTGAGAAACCCTTAAGTAGGCCCTTAAGTTCCAGTCTAGTGCTCTTAGTGATACACCTGTATCAGTCTGTGATCTACTTGATCTATCTGCTTGAGAGGACCACAAGGACAGGTTACTGTGAAGTGTAAGCTTTTGGTTCCTCATCCTTGAAGGCTCTTGGGTTCAGAGCTATGCACCTCTGCCCAGGTCTTTTCAGCAGGCCTTTTTTTTTTCTTTAGTTATTTTTATTTGCCTGTGTGATATTCAGATTTTAAAGTTTATGATTTTCCTGAAGGAAGAAGGAATGGCTGGGTCCACCTTTTGCTTCCTCATTCATCCAAGCAGTATGGGAGCAAGATTAGCTTTGATATGGGAAAATGTTTGTTATCAAGCTGGTGCCTTACTTGGTTCATTAACCTTTGACTGTATTTAGATCAGACATCTTGGGAGGTCTTATAGAATCTAATCCAGAAGAATGGGAAAAAAAAAACCCATTTAATTTCATTTTCTTTCTAATGATTTTACAAAGAAATGAATTAATTTTATAGTAATAAATCTGGTACTAGAACCTCCTGCTTTCATACTCCTAGGCCAGTGTTCTTTCTGGTACACCATGTTGAAGGTACATCTTTTATAGTACCCAGTGAGTTATTTTATTTGAGTGTTTGAAAACTATATGAGGAAGTCTGATATTTATAGCAAGTATTAAGATAGAGCTTTTGATGAGTTAGGAAAAGTGCTGTTTTCTGTGACTATCATGATGGTATCCATCCTTTTTCAAATACGAACTTGATGGCAATGGCTCCCAGATAAAGTTGGTGCTGGGGGCCAGCTGGTAACTGGAGGAAATCTGAGTTATGGCAGGATGTGTGCATTAAGGGTGACTTCCCCTGCTAAATTATTAGAAGTTCAGATGGGATGATTGGTTATGCGGAAGTATGTATCTTGTACAACCAAGGGACAGAATTTCAATTTCTCATTCACTGTAGAGATTTTAATGCTTATTTTTTTCATACTAGAGGAGATTCACCCAAATTTTAGTCATTTGACTAGTAGATTCTTTAGATTCTAGATTTTCCCCAGATCTGTCTACTACTTCTATTGTTTGCCTGACACGAGAAGAGTTGGTGTTTGTGCTGCCTGTCCCTATCATAACCAATAAACAGAGATAAGGATTAAATCTTTATGGGCACTTTATTCAGATGGCCAGCAATCTGAGAAGATGACAGGTTATGTACCCTCAAAAACTGTCTTAACATCTCATCTCAAGCCTATTTTTTTTATAAGAAGAAAGGGTAGTAAGGGGTTTGGAAAAAAGGTTAGAGTTGCAGTGGGGGGAATTTTCCTAGTACTTTTTTAAAATTTTGTTCAGCAATTCTTTACACTACGGAGTTTCCTTGCTGGAACACTGTGGCTCAGATACCTTCTCTGTTGCTTGCAGACCCCCGGGCAACAAAGGTTGAATTGCTTGTTAACTTCCTGGAGTCATGTGGTCATGTATTCCAGTTCCTGGAATAACAGCTTTCCACATGTGTCAGTCACTGAAGCCTATCAACTAAGGCCAAGATCTTTCAACTCTTGAGTTTCCCTATCATACCTAATGTTAAGAAATGAAACACACCCTGGCTAGTGTAGCTCAGTGGATTGAGCACAGGCTGTGAACCAAAGGGTTGTGGTTTGATTCCCAGTCAGGGCACATGCCTGGGTTGCGCTGCCAGGTCCCCAGTGGGGGCCATGTGAGAGGCAACCACACACTGATGTTTCTTTCCCTCTCTCCTTCCCTTCCCCTCTCTCTCTTAAAAAAAAAAAAAAAAGAAAGAAAGAAAGAAATGAAACACTTTGTTATCTTAAAGTTTTAAAAATGACACTTATCTTTACTAAAATGGAATGCCAGTATCACTTGCATAAAGAAAAAATAACTTTAAACCAGTGCAAAAAAATTGTAATTAATTTTTAGTTAGAGACTGTTGAATATCTGTGGCATAGAGCTTAAGCCTACCTTTCCCTTGCTAAATAGAGGAATTACTGGAGAAACGTTGAGACTTTTTTCCCAATTCTAATCGAAGGATTTATGTTAGTGCTATTAATGCTGTTACCCATACACTAAAATTATCTGCTTGGCAATAGTGTCCCATTCTTTGGGAAAGGTGAAAGATTGGGGCTAGAGATCAAAGTGACAGACCTGAAATCAGATCTATTAGAGAACCATAGAGGCCTATTAAATATTGGAGCAGATTCTAGGAAGTTCTCCTGAGAAACAGGATTAGAATTTGGGTGTATTATGGATTCCTGTTGCTTGGGCATCTTCCCTGTGCTGTTGAGTCCCTTAACCACAGCTTCTTTGACAGTTGCTTCTTTGCCTTAGGAAAGGGGAGTTTCGTTTGTGTCAGTCTTCAGCCTCACAGGAGGAGCCATGAGGCTCTTGTATTTCTTAGCCTTCCTTTTGTTGTTCTCCTATTCAGCTTTGGGGCTTGGGTGGAGATAAGGTGGGGTGGGGTGGGTGGGGTGGGATAGAGTTTAAAACTTTGATTAGAAGCCTAACTATCACATAAGTTTAAGGACTCTTGGTTTCTTTCTCATTTAGATATTCTCAAATCTGTACCTAAGCAAGTATTAACCTGTTTAGGGAAATAAATTTCAGAGTCATTCTCTTGAGGAAGCTGCTGGGTAGTTGATTAAGAGCCAGGGACCAACAGAATTTCTAATAGGCAGTCATGCATATACAATCACTGATGTTTCAGAGACACCCTGAGCTTAAATTCCAGGAGGTAAGAGGATGGAAAGGTTTGGGTAGGAGTGGTAATATTGGTGGTGGTTGTGGATAGGTGGGGTTTAACACCCCTGAATTTTAAGAAACTAGCTAGTTTTGTGATCTTTTAAGAATTTTGGATTCCCAAATGGCAGGTGCTTTCTGAAGGTCAACAGAGAAGAATTTGAAGGGTCTCTTTTCCCCTAAGACTGCCTGTGTTACCAGCTCCACACCAAAAAAACTCCTGACTTTGGAGAGAGGTTTTTCGAAAGCAGGAAAGGTGGCTTTGGTGAGGCTTCTTTGGGGATATGTGCCATTTCTAGTGTCTCTTCCAGGAAAATAGCTTTTGAAAAAGAAGGTAAGGCATGGTATTAAAAAGGCATATGGTGGACAAAGAAACTATTAGATTTTTAAAACTCCACACATTTAAGACAATAGTTTTATTGTCACTGGGGAGCATCAGATTGCATGATCTATTTATATACGATAAGCAAGGTCCCTGACATTTTATTGAATACTAATAATTGGTTGTTTTGTTCCACTACAGGTGCAGGTTATCATTCTGAATCCAAAGCCAAGGAATATAAACATGTATGTAAACGAGCTTGTCAGAAGGTATGATACAAACACTTCAGTTTTGACCATAAAGCAGCTTTACCTTGAAATTCTAAATTTTAAGGTTTTATTTATAAGATGATTTCTAGCTTGGACCATAAAATAATTTTGATCATATTTGTGAGGTCTTTTTTTTGCTTTGTGTTTTTTTTAATCTTCAAATCATGCTTAGATATTTCCCAGATTAAAGTCTGTATTTTTGGGATCATGGGTACATAATCATGTATCTTTTAATCTTTGCAAAGGCATTGAGCTCTATAGGAAATAGCTCAAAAGCAATCAATGTGTCTTTCAGTGAAGGAAGAAAAAAACTAACAAATGAAAATGGGTGCTTTTCTTTAGGAGATTATCATGTATGTTTTCCTTCTGTTTTTCATTACGTAGTTTGTATCATAGAAATTCATTGTCATTCCTGAAGTTAGCTTTGCCCTTGTATTCAGTTGTGCTTTTTTTCTCTTTGGTTTTTGAGGTTTTGTTAAATTGTTGAGTACTTAATGTGGAATCAAAAATGGAATCAGAAGAACTATTGTTTGTTTTTATTTTGATCTTGACTATATACTCTTGTAGGCAAACCTTTCATTTACTTTTATTTAAATAGAATGTTAATTGGATATTATATATTATGTAATTGAGTCAGCTTCTTTGATTTGTGTTTAATACTTTTAAAAGAAAGATTGTATTAAAAATCCAAATTTTTCTTATGAATGAAATCCCATAAATAAAGAAATAAGAATATTTTATTATAGGGACATTTAAAATAATTTATAATAGAGTTTAAAGTTCTCTAAACTCATATTTTTTATCTTATTTTTCAAAGTGTGAAATGTTTTCATTATCTGAAAAGAATGTTTTGTTTATATAGAACTACTCTAGTCCTAGAAACCTAATACATTTGGAGTATGTAGTCACCCTCCTCAATTTATACAATGAATGCACTTCTTAAAAGTTTAATAGAATTCTCTTTCTGAGCTTACTCTTTATTGACTAATTTGGAGCTTTAATAGTTCATTTTTAGAAATCATCCTTCCTTCTCTTTCTTCCTGTCAAGTTGTATGCGAGAATCAGGGTGATTTTATAGACCTTTACTCTGTAGTTTATATTACAAAAGAATGTGATTTGTTTATCTCACTATAAAATCTATTATAGTATCAAAAATGCTTTTGTTAAATACATGTTTCCATCCAAGGATTCTGAAATGCATCTGTGATTGGGTGTCACTACTTTTTTATAGTTAGGGGTGGGGAGAGTAGTAACAGTGGGAAGAAAACTTAGCCTGAGATTTAATTATCTATATAAAGTATGAATTGTCAGGATATTTAAACCAAACTGAATTCATATAATGTCTATGGCTATTTGAGTTGCCTTGTGATGAATGAAATCCTTTCACTTAATAAAATTCTTAGCGCTTTGCATTTAGTGGCTAGATTTTTTTTACATTTTCTTAATTTGAATAATACTAAGGGAACTATGTCATAAATTGTCCTGAATGTAAATGCATTGTTTTAAATGATTGTTTTAAATTTAAATAGTTTATATCTTGAAGTATAGAATGGAAATAGTGATCAATTTTTATTAATTCTAAGTGTCTCTTACACTTGTTTAAACTTTTGGAAGTTTAAGCCTTTGGAAAGTTCTTGGGTATGTTTGAGCAGTTGTAGTTTTACAATGAAAAATCTTTCCCCTTGGTTTCATAGGCAATTGAAAAGCTACAGGCTGGTGCTCTTGCGACAGATGCAGTGACTGCAGCTCTGGTGGAACTTGAGGTATTTCTTTTCTCTGTGTTTTATTTAAAATATTTGTGAATATGTTTGTTATTATTAAATGTCATGGCACTGTTAAGTTAGTCAACCCTCAATTATGTGACTAGTGTTTACCAACAATATTAACAGAGTTGTGAAGAAGCCTTTGACATTGTTCACTTGTTTTTATTGGAGAATTCTCTGAGTAATATAAGAAAACTGGTTAAATTCCTTTTTCCCCTGTTTTGTGAGACTCGTGAATATAAAAGTTACTGGTTACTTAATATTACTGGATACTTAAATTTCCTTCATATTTTTAGTAGGAAAATTCCTGAAATTAACACTTCCCAAAGGAATATATGTTTAGAAAACAAAAAGTTCCAACTGTTTAGACATTTCTAAAGTGAAGGTAAAGTTTCCTTAACAACTTAATAGTTTGATACAAATTCTGAAGCTATGCTCTTTGAAGCATGTCTTGTCCATTGTGGTTGTTCAGTTGGTCTGCAGTTAACCTCAGACAGTGAGGAATTCAGTGGGGAAGGTGTTCAAGTTTGGAGTAATTCTTTGTACTCCAGACTGCGGGTCTCTTAGTTCTCTTAGTGTGGAACCTTGGTGGTGAGTTTGTCTAGGGGATATGGAGGCCTCAGAAGACTGACTTAAACTTAGAGAAGATAGATACACGTAAGTCAGTTTAGAGGATTATAGTGAACAAATAGTTTTTTTTGGTTGAGAGGACTCTTTGTAGAATCAAATTAAGACCAGAAGATAAAATGATGAGTTTGAGGGAGAAGGGGATAGTTAGAGTAGAATTTCCCAAGTTAATGGGATTGTTGCTCTTGTGTTTAGGCGCTCTTATCAGGGCACCTACTCTGTCATGCCAGGCCTTGCTTTTCTCTGTGAAAATTGCCCAGGATTTTGCCAAAAATCATAGCTGTATTTTTGGCTTATTCCCCTGCTTAATTGTGGAGCTGTACTTTTGATCATGCTTTATAGGTTTTAATCTCTCCTGTTAATACTTTCAGCTTGGTCTTAGTTAAGGAGGGTAAACATACATACTAGGCACCAGTTCTGTTGGAGTTTGACCTAGGGGCATCGGATTTGAGATTATGTGGTCCCCTCCTATTGTGAGTGACATCAGTCATCAGTCATGTATCTCCATGACCCAGTTTTTCCATTTATAATATGTGGATAATAATGCCTGCTTTACAGAGTTGTGAAGATTCACCGAGTTAACATAATAGTCCCTTAGAACAGTGTTTGGTACATAGTAAACACTTCATAACTGTTAGCAATTATTAATATTATGAGGTGCTTTGGAATTTATATATGTGAGGTTGACTATTTGTGGTAACTAGTAATGACAAATTTTATGATGTCCAAAAGGTTATTATATATTATGGATATATGGAGAAAAGAAATGTAAGAAAGAAGATTAATGTATACTTAGCACCAAATTGTGCCTTTACTCAGCACATACTCATAAGGAAAGCTTCATCCAATTTAATTCAATTGTTAATTGCAAATTACTTTCCTTTGTGCAGAAAATGATGTCCTGAGATTACCTGGCATTCCAGTACAAGGAGTCACTGTAGGTCTGGGAAAAGAAGGTTAATGCTTAGCTGGGGGACATATTATGACAATTATGAATACAAAATTGAGTAAAATTAAGTTCTTTTTCTTTTCATTTTAGAATAACTTTAATTTCCCCAAATCATACTTATATCAAGTTGAATATTTTATTATATTTTTCCCCAGTGATGTATGAATCCTATTTTTTAAAGTTTGCTTATTTATACTTAAAAATATTATTTAGAATATGTGTTGAGCTTTATAATTTTGAATTATGACCTGTGTTTTTTGAGTGTGAATATGAAGGATTTTTTTTTAAGCAAATGTGTTCTCTTATTTTTGATTGTCATATGGGTAATGGTAGCATGGAATACTGTCCTGAGTGAAGGTAGTATACTTCCCCTCTTTAATTATTATATTTGAGGAAGAATTTCAATGAACTATCTTTAAAAATGCATTTTTATGTGGAATTTTTGATTGAAATATATGTTAGTAGCTTAAAGGCTAAGCCTACCCTGGAAGAATGTTTATGTATCTTAAGAATTATGTTGGGCCCTGACTGCTGTGGCTCAGTGGATTGAGCTCAGGCCTGCAAACCAAATGGTTCGATTCCCAGTCAGGGCACATGCCTGAGTTGCAGGCCAGTTCTCAGCAGGGAATGCATGAGAGGCAACCATACATTGATATTTCTCTCCCTCCCTCTTTCCCTTCCTCCTCTAAAGATAAATAAAAATAAATAAAATCTTAAAAAAAAAACAACAAAAAACTTCAGTTTAAAAATAAATAAATAAATAAATAAATAAATAAATAAATAAAGATTTATGTTGGAAGTCATGCTTATAGTGCCCTCTGCAGTTCAGTCACCTTGCATGATAATTGTGATTCATCACCTTTAAACAAGGTGAGGTTTTCAAATAAAGAATTTGCTTGAAATATTGTAATAGTTTGTGTCAATGGAAAGATATATGAAAATCAGAGTCTACTATTTTCTGTACTTCAAGAAATATAAGCAACAATATTGAGTCCTTTAAATCGACTGAGAAGACCCAGAGTCTGATTTATGCTGTTGTACTTATTGAGAATAACTTTATCTTTAGTTTTGATCAGTCTATTCAATGTCCTAATTCAATCTGTTCAGTCTTGTTCTACGTATTGACTAGATAAGGGCCGTCATACCATTTCTTTGTGACTTTGAGATATGCTTTTTGGCTAAAACAAAACTACTTTTACAACTTGCCTGTTACATTATTACTTAGGTAGATAACAAAAGTCGGTTTGAATTCCTTCAACTTACTAACTGAATTGAAATGACCGAAATGGTTTAATGGTCCCTATTGGCTAGAAGGGCTTGTATTTTGAAAAATATGAAAATATACACTTGCTCAAATAGTAAAAAGTTCACTAATCTCAACTTGGTGTCATAGAGGAGGAAGAGACAAAGTGAAAGAAAAGTGAGTTTATATATGTATACATGACATACAATTAAAAATGATGTACCTAGGTGGCTTGTATACTTAATACACTCCACCTAGACGTATCATTGTTCAGCTTTTCTTGGAAACCATTTACCTTGTATGGTTTCATATGTCTCACCTACCAATACAGACAAGTAGTGTTTTCCTAAATCTACCACTTCTGGACACCAGAATGGGTGTTTCTTTCATTTAAATAAGGGAGGTAGGGCCAAATGCATACGTTCCTGCCTCTTAAATGGACTAGCTTCTCCCTTTAGGGTTTTGGCTGGAAAGTGGCCACTCTTGTAGGAGAGGTGTTTTGCAGTGCGGAAATGAAAATATGACCCCAAAGTGCATTTTGTTTCTCTTCAAAATGTGGGAAAGGAAATAGAAAGGTCAGTTTATATCAGTAGATCATATTTTAATAATTTATTGTTAAATTGATTTGGTCTTATTGTTTCATTTAGCTATTTATAGCTTTTTTGAGGTTATTACTAACTGATGGGAAGGTGACTTATATCCATTGACTAGTACAACTCTGATTTCATTCACAGAGAAGGTAAATATTGTGAAACAATTTGATCTTCATAACTAGGGTTGTGCATTTGGAAGACAGTTGCTTTGATGACTGCTTTTGCAATAGTTTTGATTCAGGTAATGACAGTAGGTTTTAAATTCTAAAGGTCATTTTGGACATTTTACATGGTAGAACTTCTGGTACAAATTTATTCTTTGAGGAAATTAGATATAGGTCTGAGTGAGTCATGATGCCACTTGCTACAGTAGAAAGTCAAAGATTCTGATAGAAAATGAACTAGTATTCGTGAAATAATTGTTGAAGCTCCCTTTGCATATTGATTTTTTTTTAAAAAGTACTAAGACCTGGTTAGAAAGCTCTAATAAGAAATAATAGATTAAATATGTATGACAAACTTTTAGAGATTATTTGTACTCTTGTGTTAGAAAACGGATAAATTTGGCCGAGATTTCAAAGATCTTGATGTAGCTAGCCTTTGGGAGATTTTGGTTAATTCATTTTGAAAACTGGTTATTTTGGTAGGTAGAGCAGTCTGTTAAAAACAGTGATAGGTATAACTTTTACATTTCATATAGTGAAAGGCAAATTATACAGTCTCCTTTATTAAAATATATTCTGTTGAACTTATGTTATTGTAAGTGGAGTCTGTAGTTCTTTTGTTGACTCGATTCATCCTTAAAGTCTCCCTATGGTCAGGGGAGAGAGTAATTCATGGCTGAAACTAGTTTATTGTACAAAATCTTTAGCATGTAAAGAGAAGATTGTATTTGGCATCAGTTTTTATATGTCTTCTAATAGCAGTACATTGTCTTTGGCTCTCTATATAATTCAATATGCTTACTTATAAACTCTAGGAAAATCCTCTAAGAAGTAACTTTTTATCCAGATGGCTGATAGTTTGGGGTATAAGAGAAAAAAATTAGGTATTGCATTATTATATATTTATATTTTATACCCAGAGCCAGCTCTGCATGCATTTCTGTTTCTGTTAAAGGTAGGAATCTTCAGAATGTCGTCATTGCTGAGAAGTTGGTTGTTGGAGGACCATAGCCAGGTGCCTCTGTGCAAGGGCCGGATTAGGCTACAACCTTTTTCCTTGGTTATATACTTTTGGCTGGAATTGTTTGTGTGCCTCAGAAGGGGGGGGGGGAGAGCACCTAAGGCCTGCTAGTTCTTGAACTGCTTAGTGGTCATGGAGATGATGTGGCTTGTTGCTAGCATATGTGGGCATATCTAGGTTGGAAGGGAACATTGGGAAGGGCTGATACAACTTCCTTTCTCTCACCAAAGCTATAGCAAGTTCACTTGTGGGATTTCTTTGTGAGTAAATTCTTAACTACTACCTGTTCCTTACCTCCACTTAAGTGTTTGGTTTTTATTGCAGAAAGTAGAGGCATCTCCCTTATAGTTATTTCTGTTTATTTGGGAGTTTAAAAAACTACTTAAATTAATGAGTATCCACA